ATCACTTCCTGACCCGGAGCAACAGAAAACTACAAGTGCTGGATGTTCGTGTGAGACGGACAGTCATAAGGTCATCTGATCACTGTGCACTAGACTCTCATTTCGTAACACAGCAACCTGTCGGCCCACCCGGCGTCTCCAAGGACGGAAACTAGCCTCACGTTCTATCGTTGATAGACGGGCTTTTAATGCGAAGGTCCGCGAAAAGGAAGCCCAGCATGAGTTCGAGATGGATATGATCCATACTTGTCCTCAGGATGGTGCCTACTCAGACGTAGTCCATGCATTTCAAGGTTCCATGCGTAAGCTAGATGAGGTGGAATCGTGTCCTGGAAAGCCCTGGTTCTCTGCATCTCATGTCGCAGCTGCAGTCAGCGAGAAAAGACTGAAATGGAAGGCATTCCTATCTAGGAAGACGCCAGAAGTTTTCAAGTCATACCGCGAAGCTCGCAGTAACGTGGTTGCAGTAGTGAAAAAAGCTAAAGCCGATTTGAAGTGCTCTCAGATTGAGAACGCGGAAGCTCAACACGCTGTTGGGGATGTCAAGCGCCTCATCAACGAGTTGAAATCTGGTCTAGGCCCACACTGACCCACAGACGACATGATCTCCTCTCTCCGCAGGTGTTTGCAAGTCATTTTACGCAACTATTCGTTCCGAAAACTTGCACTCTACCTGCCCTTGAGCCAGTCGACCTTCCAATAGAGCGCACGGGAGGGGATGCCATCACCTTGGATGAGGTGAATGACTCTCTCTGCTCTATGAATAATGGTAAAGCTCCCGGAGCGAATGGGGTGCTCACATCAGCTTTGAAAGCCGGTGGTGAGCATTGTCTGGGGATCTTACACCGCTTGTGCAAAGAGTGGTGGAGTGAACCGGAGACTTAGGACATTCCATTATTATCTCTTTCTATAAGAAAGGTGATAGGAAGGTAGCAGGCAACTATAGGGGGATAAATCTGCTCGATCATATCGGCAAGGTTTATTCCGGAGTTTTGGGGCAGAGGCTCAAGCCTCTAGCAGAGAGTTCCGTTTGAGAGAAGCAGTTCGGATTTCTCCCAGCGAAGGGCACTCTAGATGCGGTGCACGTACTACGTCGATGTCAGTCTGCAACCAGAATGGTCGCAGATTGTCCGCTGTCTTCCTAGATTTGAAAGCAGCCTGCGATAAAGTACCTCTTCCTGCGATCTGGAGAGCTCTCAGGCTAGCCGGATGTGATGAGAAGCTCATTTCAGCTATCGAATCACTACACCGTAATACTGTTGCACAGGTTAAAACTCAGGAAGGTTTATCTGATCCTTTCCAATAGATATGGGAGCTAGACAGGGGTGCCGAGTAGCGCCCCTTCTGTTCATCATCTTCATGGAAATGGTGATCAGAGAAGCCAACCTGGATATCAGCTTGAGCATGCCTTGTGAGAGCGAGGGCAGTACGGAATCCGTGGACCTCTCATGTCTCCTGTTCGCGGACGACATCGTTTTATTGGCGGATGATGATTCTATTCTTCAGCGTAACCTGGATAAGCTTTCGGCAGCTCTGACTAGGTTTGGTATAGAAGTGTCCTTACCTAAGACGAAATGCATGAT